TATCACATAGCCTGAGCAGACTAACGCAGCATATATATGCACAACAAGATATAAAATGACTGCACATGGAATGAAATTCTGAGTCTGCAGATTGACAGGGTCTGGTGTGGTGCAGAGCATTGGAGATGGCAGCACAGATTCACCTTGGGGAGCATCAGAATATCTTTTTTGAATAAGGGAGATGTTTCATCACCACTTTTGAATAGAGGCGATCTTCCAGTTAAAACATTACAACTAAGTAATTTGATGGTGATGATGCATCTGCTTCATTCAGCTGTTCACTGAATTACAGATGCTGACACTATTTCAAGAACTACAGAAGAGACTGAGGACTTGTGATTTCTATTGTTTTCTTTCAAAGTACTACCTATGCCTGGACTTTTGTAAATGGACAGATGCCAGGGAAGGGGTTGTTGAAGGTGCCTTGGAGGGCAGACTGGACTGTCATCCCCAAATACTTGGGGCATGTTCTGCTGCTCTGCCAGTGAGCAGGTGAGCCACCCAGGGGACCCAGAGAGTCAGTGCACTGATGCCTGCTGCTTGCATTTGGCCAGTTCTTTTTTTTTTTATCTCCTCTGACTTGAAAGATATTTATTAAATTTAGGAGTAAGAGTCACCTCATGGTCTCCTTTGAATATCAGGTCCTGGGGCTGAGGGCATTAAAAATAGTAGGCCTCCATCCTCATCTTTTGCCACAAGAAAATATTCCTTTATTTATCAGGTGCTTCTGCGCCCCCTTCCCCAAGTGTTTGTTTTAGAAGCCCCATTTGCATAGGCTTGCAGTGACCCAGAACGCTCTATTCTTTGAGAAAGGATAGAAAAACCCTCCTGCTGTGCCACCTTCTTCCCTTGCAACTTCTGCCTGGGTTTGTGTGGATCCCTAGTCCCTAGAGCCACACTGTTGAGATGGCCACACTGTAAACCCCTGGATAACTGTCCAGTCATGATGCGGACTTCAGGTTGTTCTGTATAAAATGCAAAATTAATGTTTTTATTAAGAGTGAAAAAAAAAGAATAAGACTCATCTTTCCCACTGGTGTGTGTCAACACACATGTACACAGATGAACTGACTCAGCAGGTGGCTGATGTTTGTCCAAAACAGCCCTGGTCTGAGGGTTTTGCAGAAGCCAGTCCACATGCCGGGAAGAGTGTTGCGCAGCAAGAGAGACCCAGGCAGTGGCGGTGGCGGTGAGCTGGTGGGTGGGCAGGAGGGAGAATAGGGAGCTGCCGACGGGACAGGGACTTTGGAGGAAAAGAGAACTGGTGGCAGCATTTTAAGGAATTTTCAATGCAGGCAATGATGTAATGCTCTCTTTGTCTCCCTTTAAAGCATTCAGTAAATCTGTAATAACCAGCAGTGGTCTTAGACTTGAATTTAATGCATCAAATCTGGCCTGAAAATGGAAATGGAGCAAACACAGGAACTGCAAAAGGGGCCCAGCCACAAACAGTTTATAGCTGTAACACACACATGAGCATATGTCCACATACAGAGTGGGGGAGAGAGAGAGAGAGAGAAGTCTGGGGGGTACATGCAGCAAGTGTTAATAGTTATCTGTCAGCAAAAAACCAATGGATTGTATCATAAATCATAACTAATTTTTATTATTTTTGCACTTTACTGACTTTTCTGACTTTTATGGTGAACATGTTAAAAAATAATGTTGATAATCCTAATAATAATAACTAATATTTTTGATTTCCTATATAATTGTATTTTCCTACTCAGTTTTATTGGAAATTTCTAGTTTCCTTCCTCTTTCTTCTTCCATCGCAGCTCTAATTGCTGGATGTTTACTTATTAATTTTTAGGCAACACATTTTTAATTTATTAATGACTTCATCAGTACACCTTTTGTAAAACATCTTGAGTATTTTAAGTCTGCTCTACCCTTCTATGCCATCCATTCCTGCTAGCGACTTTAAAATATGTAGCACCAAGAAGTTTGAGTAATTATTAACCATGGCATGCATTTGGTCAAAGTGAACACAGTGCTTAAGAGAGGGAGGAACCTTTTGAAGGTCCCTCAAGCGCTGTGTTTGTTTGAAGCTATGCATGTTTTATCGATGAGGATGTAAGAGCAATAAAAGTTCTCTCCGTTTTCCTGAACCACAGGAAGAGAGAATTCCTAGGCGAGAAATGTTCTCATCCAGCACAAGCTGGGCTGTGCCCTACGCGTGCTTTGGTCTGCAAGCCCCAGGGGACCCAGGCAAGGAAGCCTCTTCCCTGGGAGAACTTCACTGACCTCATTTCCAGGAACATTATTATGGTCAATAGAGCAGATAATCTCAGTGCCAAGTGGGAGGGAAGACAAAGCTAGCTTCAAGTAACTCAGTACCAGGACATTCCAGGCTTTAAAATAGCTGTCTTAGCCTCTCAGGCCATTTGAACAAGTCTAAACAGAACTAGAAAACAAGCTGTAATGGAACCTTACCCAACAGAAACAGGTTCTGACAGACTTTTTTGGCTCGTTCCCCTTGTTTTTGCTATCCAGAATCTCCCTGTCAGCTTAAATTTTTTCCTCCCTAGTCACTCCCTCCCTGGGTGGTTTAAGTCTCTGGATATAACCACTATGCATAGCAGATACATGGCAATGTACATTGTGTAGCTCCTCCACTTTCCTTAGTACAGTTGCTAGTCTCTCGGATGGCTGCGTCCACCTCCTCTTGACGGGCCTCACACACACCCATCAGCTCACCCCTCATGCTCCTGTGGCCCCTCTTTTGTTCAATATCTTAATCCCACGCCAAGCTGTTCACGCTGAGTCATTTTACCTCCTTTTCTCCACTGCATACCCGGCTTCCAAAAACACATTCAATCAGGCTCCAAATCTGGAATGTGTTCTGGAATCCTGGGACTTGGCACAGAACTTTTTGCTTATTTCATACTGACATGTCTCCATTTCCAATTTATCCTCCACATAATCATCAATTATTCTTCCAGAACAAAAATCTGGTCCTTTTTACCTCTTCCTTTTTACCTCTTCCTTGCTTAATAACATTCAATAGTTACCCATTGTCTGGATAAAGTTTTATTTCCATAACATGTACATAATTTCCCTAAGTCCTTTCACTCCCAGTCAACATTCACCTTCCTGTTGACTTACCCTCTTAGTTTACTGCTTTCTGCCAAAGGACAGCCAGCTTTCCCAACACCTTAGCCCAGAAGTGATTTCTTAATGTGCTATCTAGTTCATGTTGCATGTTTATGTCAGCTAGAGAGTTCTAGGTATTTGGCAGTGGGGGAGGGAAGGAGTGACTGAGGAATACCCTGGAGTGGCACGGTAGTTTGTTTACTCTGCATGCTGGCAGTGCCAGGGTTGGTAATGGAGAAAATTGTTCAGATTCCAAATACTGTTAAAATAAAAAGATAGTAAGCAAGATTTGTATGTGCTTTGGGGACTATTTCCTTTCTTCTATATTTTTGAAGGCTTTAATGTCAATTTTATTTAATGTCTGTAGGAAGCTAGCATACTTGAGTAGTTAATTGCTACCATTACTCAAATAGCTTATTAGATTCAAGAAGAATCAGGCAACAAATATTTATTGACAAGGAAGGGCTGTATCACCACTATACCATGTTAGGTGCTGAGGAATGCAGTGGGAAAACAAGAGTTTAAAGACTGAAGAGGAAGATACACATTCAACAAATTATCACTATTTATGAAGTAAATTAATTAAAGCACTATGAGCAGGAAATATAGGATGTCAACAATGGAAACCCAACTCAACACACATGTGTGTGCACACACACAGAACAGAGCTTGAAATGAGTATCTTTTCTCCACCTCAAGTGACAGCTTTGTTAATTCCTAATAAGCCATGCACATAAGCAGCTTCTACATAGAATTTAAATCACCCTCTTTTTGTTGTTCATGGCTTCCTGATAAGAACAAGCAAACATGGGTTCAACTGATATAAACAGACAGAGCTGCTGCAGTGAATTTATCCAAAATGAGTGAGTGTTGAGTCCTGATGTAAATAGACAAGCTGTAGATGTGTTTACGAATTTGGATGTCTGCTTACATAAGCAATAGAGCGTGGTGGCTAAAAGCAGGCCACAGGAGCCAGCGTGCTGTCTCTTCTATACTGGGTCCATTACTTTCTGGTTATGTGATCTTAGACACCTCATCTGTAAAGTGAAGATAAATAATCAACCACCTTACAGGTTGTTATGAGGATTAAATAGGTTAATACAAATAAATCACTTGACACCTGTTAAGGGCTGCTTCAGAGTAAGCGTTCTACAGATGTCACCTATTGGTTTTGCTCACATAGGCCCTTTTTTTTTAAGATAACTAACAGTGCAGTAATACTGAATCTCATAGATACAGGGAGATTTTTGTCAGAAATGTACACGAGTAAGATTTATTAAGTCTAGACAAGGGAATCCAGGAATTTCATACCGTATTTGTTGTCTTTAGGACTGAGTTTCAATTAGGGTGTCAGCTGAGAGTGACAGTATTTCCAGATTTAGAATGTGACATTTACTCTGGTATTGTTAGCATATGTAGTAGCTGAAAACAGTAGTAGATAGTATTCATGTATGTTATCTTAAGATTTATTTTTTTAAATACATTTGTTTTATATTAATATATTTTATCTCATTTAACCCAATTGTGACAAATTAAGGAGAGAAAAAACTGGGGACAGTACCGAAAGCTAAGTATCTATGGAGTCTGTAGACCAGTGCTCTGTGTATAGCATTATAGTGACACCTTGTTTCATGCACTGAACGTCTGCATACTTTTTACTGCTATTCTAGAAAGCAGAGCGGCGTTTCCGCGGGCTATTCAGCGGACTGCGTCCCTGTTGGTCGGCTAACCAATAAAACCAAGCTCATTCTGCTGCTGTGCGAAGTAAGCAACAACGGACGGGTAAAAATGACTGTGGAGCATAATTCCGTTGTCAGGACAGCCAAGGAAGAGGGACGACTAGTTCCGGAACCCCGCGTTCTCCCCGGCGCCCCCGCCCCGCCCGTTCCCGGTTTCCCGGGAGGTGCCGGAGGCGGGGCCGGGGATCGGGGGCGGGCCTCCGGGGCGGCGGGGAGGACCTGCCTGCGCCGCCCCGGCGCTCGCAGACTCGGGCTCGTACGCAGGCGCGCTGGGCCGCTGAGAACAGCGACCGAGGGCGGCCGAGCGGAGCGCGGAGCCGGTCGGGTGCAGGGCGCGATGCGGCCCGGAGAGGAGCGGCCCTTGGAGGGGGGCGCCGGCGCTGGCGTCTCCGCGCTGGAGCTGCTGAAGCTGCGCGCCGCCGAGCGCATAGACGAGGCGGCCGAGCGCCTGTGGGCCGTGAGCCGCGCCATCTGGAGCAAGCCGGAGCTGGCCTACGAGGAGCACCATGCCCACGACGTGCTGACGCGCTTCCTCGAGAGCGAGCCGCCGGCCGCGTCGTGGGCGGTGCAGCCGCACTACCATCTGGCCACGGCCTTCCGCGCCGAGTGGGGCCCGCCGGGGGGCCGGGTGGCCCCGCGCCCGCTGCAGCTGGGCTTCCTCTGCGAGTACGACGCGCTGCCCGACATCGGGCACGCCTGCGGCCACAACCTGATCGCCGAGGTCGGGGCGGCGGCCGCGCTGGGCGTGAAGGGGGCCCTGGAGGGTCTCTCCGGGCGGCCTCCGCCGGTGAAGGTGAGGTGGGGCCCGGGCGCGGGGTTCCATCACCTGCCCAGGCCGGGACCGACCTGGGAACGGCAGGACCCGGAGCTTCCCGACCTCTTCCGTCCCCTCCCAGCCTGGGGCAGGGGCAGATGCAGGGCCGGCACTCGATGCCCCAGCCTCGCCTGGGCCAGAAGGCAGAGCCCCGGGTTAATGAGTTGCAGACCTAGCGACATCTTGCAGACTTGTGTTTTCTGTAGTTACAAACAGTTGAGTGGACTCTCCCATAGGAAAGAACGTAGAAGCCTGTTTTCCCTTATGCCTTATTTTTGGAAACAGGCAACCGCAGTTTGCTTGACAAGCTTGTGTAATCTCTGGAGGAAGTAATTATTGTCGGGAAACCTACAGACCCTCATCTTGAGGCTCCAGAAAGTCTTCTCTTTGTGGCAGTCAGAGGAGCATTGTGGATTCGAATCGTTGGTGTCTGGGTAGGGAATTTTAAGTCGTTAGAACTCACCAAATCTCTAAAAATACAGGAAAAAAATGGGAAAGTTTACATTTACTACAAAGATGAATCCTAAGTCTTAATGTTTATTTCATTATTTTAAGAAATATCTCATTCTTTAAATGAAGAAACGTCGTTTATGTTTGTCATAGGGCAAATTTAGTCTCAGGTTATCCGTTTTCTCCAGATGGTATGTATATTTATTGTAGGAGCTAAGATTCAGTCATCACCATTCCGTGTAAGGGGACGACTAACTTATTTATTTATTTATTTTTTATTTTTTGGTAAGAAAAGTTTAAGCTTTACTTCAGTGTACGTCTCATGAAACAGAACTGAATCACATGGCCATTCCTAGAGGCAAGAGAAGTTGGAATTTGAGGGCTTTTTGTTTGCTTGTTTTTAATTTACATTATTTATTTGTTTTTTTATTAAGGTATTATTGATATACACTCTTATGAAGGTTTCACATGAAAAACAGTGTGGTTATTATATTCACCCTTATTATCGAGTCCCCCCCGCCATATGCCATTGAAGTCACTGTCCATCAGTATAGTAAAATGTCAACAGAGTCACTACTTATCTTCTCTGTGCCACACCGTCTTCTCTGTGACCCACACACACACCGTGTACCAATCACAATATCCCTCAATCCCCTTCTCCCACTCTCCCCCATCCCTCCCCTTTGGTGACTGCTAGTTCCTTCTTAGAGTCTGTGAGTCTATTGCTGTTTTGTTCCTTCAGTTTTGCTTCGTTATTATACTCCACAAATGAGGGAAATCATTTGATACTTGTCCTCCGCCTGGCTTATTTCACTGAGGACGACTGACTTTTAAAAAAAATATTCTTCAGCCCATTTATTTCCCCAATGTCCTTAACCTTTCTTTTTTATCCTAACAGTTCCATCTTTTGTGGCTTTTCCTCTTTAGCTGCTTTCTCTTTTCCACCTCCAGGATCTTGTTTTTGCATCTAGTTAGGGTTTTGTTTTCTTTGGGGTAGGGGGGGCACCCTTTGCCATTGCAAGAAACACAGGAGAGATGTAGTTCTAACCACGTTTCTGAAAGGTTCAGAGAAGTCACCAAGATTTAACTTGGGAAGTCATCAGATTTAATGAGTCCAGGATTAAGAGTTTGGGTGCTTTATAACTTCTAAAGAAAGCTGAACTTTGGGAAATGTACATGGTTGTATTTCGAATGGTGATGCTCAGTTGTAGCAAGGTTATCTGTCTTATCTGAAAATGAAATTTGTGTTGATATCTTTTGCAGTCCAAGATGTTTTTCAAACTTGTTTCGCTGTTTTCTTATTACTTCATCTTGAAAGTATACTAGTTGTTTGTAGATAATTTTGTTTTTAAAAATTGTTTGAAGAAGTTAAGCTTAAAAATCAAAGTAAAATGTTTATTCTGTAAAGTTCTCTTTTGTTCAATTAGGTGTTTGGTGACCAGTAAATCTGCCTGATAGAACTGGTGGAATCGAATTAGTAAGTTTGTGTAATAGTTGGCCATTTCTAACTAAGGTATTAAGATTTATTTAATGCTCTTCATAAAGGATTATGAGTTAAGACCTTTTAGTGAGGTTGCTCAGTAGGGAATCAGAGTTCAGGCCTAAAGGTCAGGACATGTAATCCCAGCTCTGTGTGAAATGCTCCATGGCCTGGGACAAGACACTTCACTCTATGCTTCAGAACCTTATCCTCCATATAATGATGGTGCAGGTTGCTCACCTACCTCACAGGGTTGTTGTGAGGATAATTAATAAGTGTCTGAAAAGTTCCTTACCAGTAAAGTGCTTAAGAATTATTATATAAATATACTAAAAGATCCAACCAAGAAGTTTTAAGAAGTAAGTCCTAAAGAATTTTGAGGAACTTAGTATATGGTATTTTCATCTTTGCCGTTAGTTAAAAACTCACAAAATTGAGTTATAAAATTAGAAAAAGTTTCCTGTAATAGCTTTAGTACATACTTGGCACCGTATTGGTATAATTATGTTTATTAAATGAATTTTTATTTAAATTTGTGATTAATTTAGCACCATATATTTGCACTCACTGCATTACTTGAGTGTCAGAGAACAGAACTCTCCATAGTTTGAGGTCTTGAATGTAGATTGTGACTATATATGCGAGGAAACCTGTTTGATACTTTCCTATTAGGATTTTTTTTGCCATTGTTGTGCTCTGACACAGGTATTTCCTTCTAGGTAATTGTCCTGGGAACACCTGCAGAAGAAGATGGTGGTGGCAAAATTGATTTAATTGAAGCAGGGGCTTTTGAAGATCTTGATGTTGTTTTTATGGCCCATCCGTCCCAAGAGAATGCTGTGTATCTACCTGACGTAGCTGAACATGAGTAAGTAATCAAATTGAAATGGGCTTCTTAGTGGAAAACTGACCATTGGAATACTCGGACTTCGCCACAGGAGACTGTAACTCCATAGTCACACATTTAAGGAGTAAATTGAAAAATAATGAAGTGCTGTCTTACTTGATTTCCATTGAATGACATTTCGTCTCTTCTAATTGAGCTTTACTATGGCGTTTGTACTCAGAGAATTGAAATAAGTGCCTAAAAGGCCTAAGAATAGCAAACAATATGTTGACAACTTTTGTTCTTTTTTAAACCAACTGAGTAATCTGGTTTATGAAAAGTGGCCTTTGATGTGGAGTTGCCTTTAAACTGAATAGATTTGCAAGACAGCTTTACTGGGAGCAAAGCAAACTTCTCTGTTTTACTTATTTTAATTTGGGTTTTTTGCCAAGAGGATACGTTATATCCCTGAGAAAAAATACAGACACTGACGAGCTGTGGATTTTAGTGGAATTTGCCCATCTCTTCTTTTCTGATTTGTGTGGTGTTGAAACCTTTTACCTTTCTCTATGTTTAAGAGCTCACATTTTTTGGTACCTAAAAATTGAAGTGGTTTGAATTTTTGATACCAGAAATTTCACCATCCTAGTTAATAGTCCAGTTAGTAGTCTGGTCCCAAAAAGCCACTGCTCAGCTGCTTCCGGAAGACCACTTGTTGTTCTCCTCAGTAGTAGCTATGGAGGAATACAACTATTTCAGCAGTGTTTCTAGATTATATTCAGTTATCTTCTATCTCTGATCACTTCATGAGGTCTTGTTTTCAGAAGGTGACTATTTTAACTCTTCTGGAATCTTTATCCTTCAAGGATTGGTGCTGTGATGGTCAGAAGAAGTTTTTGACCTTGGCTTCAGGGGTTGTGTACATTAGTGCAACTCTGGAAAACCGTAGAGATTAGAAGTCGGCCAGTGCCTCTGACTGGAAGGGCATGTGGCTGCAGGTGGTCTTCCCAGCCCATTCACCTCCTAGCACTTAGGATTAGGCTTCTTGGACTTGATCCTGAAGTCAACCCAGTTGGCTTCATGCCTATTCTTATTATCTGGCTTCTTAGGTTTTTTTCATTGGCCATCTTTTAAGATGGAAAAAATAACAAGGATAACAATTAAATTTAAAAAGATCACTAATCTGTTCATCCTAAAAATCTCTAACAATCAGTAAGATAAAGCCCTATGTCCTATTGACCATTTTCCCCAAACCCAGTCCCTCCTGTAGAGATATATAGCCTCCCAGGACTTCTTGAGTATATTTATAGATATAAATAGGAACATGTTTAAATTAAATTTTAAAGGCAGATTTCCCCCCCGGAGTATTCTGCTGAATATATTGTTGGCCAATTTAATTTTTTAAATTGAACAATGTGTCTTGAAAATCATTCTTTATTGGTTTGTATAAAATAGGCTTAAAATTTTTTATTAAGGTATCATTGATATACAATCTTATAAAGATTTCACATGAGCAATATTGTGGTTACTACATTCACCCATATTATCAAGTCCCCCTCTACACACCCCATTACAGTCACTGCCTGTCAGTGTACTAAGATGCTACAGAGTCACTACTTGTCTTCTCTGTGCTGAATTGCCTTCCCTGTGATCCCCACCCTATATTATGTGTGTTAATCATAATGCCATTTAATCCCCTTCTCCCTCCCTCCCCACCCAGCCTACTCATGCCCTTCCATTTGGTAACTGCTAGTTTCTTCTTGGAGTCTGTGAGTCTGCTGCTGTTTGCTTTGTTCTTATACTCCACAAGTGAGGGAAATAATTTGGTACTTGTCTTTATCCACCTGGCTTATTTCACTGAGCATAATACCCTCTAGCTCCATCCATGTTGTTGCAAATGGTAGGATTTGTTTTCTTCTTATGGCTGAATAATATTCCATGGTGTATATGTACCACATCTTCTTTATCCATTCATCTACTGATGGACACTTAGGTTGCTTCCATGTCTTGGCTATTGTAAATAGTGCTGCGGTAAACGTAGGGGCGCATCTGTCTTTTTGAATATGAGAACTTGTTTTTTTGAGGTAAATTCCTAGGAGTGGATTTCCTGGGTCAAATGGTATCTCTCTTTTTAGTTTTTTGAGGAACCTCCATATTGCTTTCCACAGTGGTTGAACTAATTTACATTCCCACCAACAGTGTAGGAGGGTTCCCCTTTCTCTACATCCTCTCCAGCATTTGTTGTTCTTTATCTTTGAGTGTTGGCCTTGCTAAATGGTGTGAGGTGATATCTCATTGTGGTTTGAATTTGTATTTCCCTGATAATTAGTAATGTGGAGCATAAAATATGCTTTTTAAGCTTAAAATACTAATGCTGCTGCAAAACAACCATTAACATTTCTGTAGTTGATTGTGCTTTAATTGTACATAAATTTGGACATAGAAGAAATGCTAGAGCCATTTTCATGAAAGACATCCTTTTCTATTTTGTAGTATGTATCACCAGTTTTGTTAAAATTCCAATTTCAGGATGATGGTGACAAGCTTTTATTGAGGTAATAATGCCTCCCCCGTGGCCTAAAAAACAAGTACTCTAAAATCTTAAAAATGTACTTGGATACTTTTGTTTTTGTTTTGCTAACAGAATGTTTAATGTCAGTCAAGAAATATGAGCAGTCTAAGGACTCCTGATCTAAACCCTTAAAATAAATGTCTAGAGTGGCTTTCTGATAATTTAAATGTGGGTACTATGAATTAGGCTTAAAAAGTACTAACTAAGCTAGTCATTTTTATAAGGATTTAATAAGCAGTACTCTAATTCTTATTGTTTTTTTTTTATCATATCTGAGTAGTTAGACCGGTATAAAAACTATTTGGAAGTAGAATTAGCAATAATTTATAAAATTCTAAGGTATTAGTGATACAGGTATTTTGGGACATTAATGTAATATTAGGAAGAATTGACTTATACTAGAGTATCTTATAATGTGAGTGTAATATGATTTTCAGAGGTTGGCTTTTTTTTAAAAATTGGAATAAAGTCAATACACAATATTATATTGGTTTCACATGAACAACATAGTGACTCAATAATTATATACTAGAAGCTTGCCACAGTAAATGCAGTTACCCCATTACCATTCCAAGACATTATAATATTACTGGTTATATTTTCTATGTTGTATTTCTATTCCTATGACTTAATTTATTTTACAATTTGCAATTTGTACCTCTTTATCCCATTCACTTATTTCACCCATCCTCCCATCCCTTCCCTATAGTAACCAATAGTCCATTGTCAATATTTATGGGTCTGTTTCTTTTTTGTCTGTTTGTTTAGATTTTTAGATTCCACGTATCAGAGGTTGTCTCAACCCATTATAGATGTGATCTCCTTTCTGTCTTTCCTTGACCTCCTCCTACCCCCTAAGACAGAACTGCCTGAGTTTTTAGACCTTTGGTATAGAGCTATCACAATGCAGTGTAATGGGACAGGAACCATCCTTTAGTAATTCCAGCACCTAATACAGTATTGCATGTTTGTCTGAATTGAATTATGTATAGATTTAATTTGTGCAGGAAGTCGATTGAGCAAAGTTCTCCTTTTTCCCGAGTGCCTTCTTTGTGTCAGTCACTGTAGTATATAATTACATAATATTAAACTATAACTAAGGTATGTAAGTTGCTGTGTTATTGTTACCAGTGATTTGTAAATAAAAATCCCAGCAGTGTGAATTAACTTTGAATGCTATTGAGTCATTCTAATTATTTGGATTTTCTTTAGTGATATTGAAAGAAGTAATTCCCAATGATATTTCTTTCCTAGTGTGACTGTGAAATACTATGGAAAAGCATCGCATGCTGCTGCTTATCCCTGGGAAGGAGTAAATGCACTAGATGCTGCTGTTCTGGCCTACAACAATCTGTCAGTGTTAAGACAGCAAATGAAACCAGCCTGGAGAGTACATGGTATGCATGTCACGTGCTTTGTGTAATAGATGGTGCCCAATATATTCTACTGCAACCTGATCACTTAATGTTTGACTTTTAAAAAAACATTTGGAAACATTGTGTGTATCTCATAACAGTATTCCAAAATCCTTTAACATTTTCTGAAATTCATGTGATAGGATACTAGAACGTTTGTCTATATGTAGGTAAAAAGACATTTAGGATTATTTAATACATAAATGGAATGGTCATTTTGAGTATTAAAGGTAATGGTTTTATATGAGGACCTGCATTCTTTTGTGGGTATTTGAAAGTTAAAACTTGATTTCCCATTTCATTGTCTCTCAGTAGCAAAATTTTGTCATTTTCTCAATTTAAAAAAAAGTTACGGCTGTTGGTTATTTATTCAAGTGCTATTACTACTGAGCAACATCTTTTTAAATTATGTATATTCACCTTAATATAAATACAGTCATAAACTTCAAGTACTGACCTAAAGTCACAAATTTATTTTTTAGCTTATTTCCTTATGATTTGAGAAATTACTGTACTTTAGTATCTATTCTTCACCTGGTTTTGCTGTAGACAGAAATTAGCTTATAACTGCACTTTCACCAATTTCCTACCTCAGTTTCCTTAAAAGGAAAAATGGGGATATGTAGAAATAATAAATTTTTTTAAACAGGTCATATAAGATTAGATTTACACATGTTTTACTTATTACTTTGGATAAGTCTTCCTTCTCAGTTAGTTGAAATTAAATGTGTATGTTTTGACAGTTGATAGTACTTCATGATCTCTGACCTGTGCTGGTTTCTGTTGGCATGAAAATTATTTTCCCAGAACCAAATGCAGTTTCAAACACTCATGGGATTCTTGAGATATGAGATTTATTAAAGAACTTCATACATTCCATTTTTTTCTTACATCAAAAGTTTATCATAATGTACAACTATAATAAAGCCTACTGAAATGAAAGTATTTTCCAGAAGGCTTAAGATAGTAATAAAAATTTCTAACAGATTCCTTATAGTCAGGAATAATGATTTCTTAACATTATAGAGACTTCCTTAGAATAAAGTACATATAGACCATTCCTTTATTTTTTTTTCCTGTTAGCCAGGAAGTCTCACTCTATGTAGAAACATTTGTTGTACAACACACCAAAATCTGTAAAACTCATACATTAAAATTATTTTTCTTTATGTACATTTTGGCTAAAAAACTTTATGGGTATATTTAAGCTTAAAGAAATGGTCTCCAAGTTCCAAGCTCAATTCCAGTAATTTGGTTCTTTTTATAGGCATAATAAAAAATGGTGGTGTAAAACCCAATATCATTCCCTCTTATTCTGAATTAATCTATTACTTCCGTGCACCCTCAATGAAAGAACTTCCAGTTTTGACCAAAAAGGCAGAAGATTGCTTCAGAGCTGCAGCTTTGGCTACTGGGTGCACAGTAAGAACTTTTAAGAGTTAATCTAAGTTATAATCAGAGGTATATATGTGGGCTGGGTTATTTATATTAAGCTAGATTAAAACCTAATTTGCCTCTTTATCATTTGGCAGTGTCTTGAATATGCAAAATCAGTTACCTGAATAGTTGATGTGAAAGTCTTTAATTCTTACTGATTTTACTCAATGCCTGCATAGGGAAGATTCCAGTTGTTTTACTCTGCAATAATTAGAATAACGGTGGTACTGCTGAGCTAGAATCCCTGCCTGTACGCAAGTTATATTTTTCCTGACTGGCAGTTATGCTTTTAGAATTGCTCTCTATAGTTCCTATAAAAGGAACTGTATGGCAAAATCAGTAAAAGCTATTTTGGAGAACTTAACAGATATGTATAGTAGTGATAAAAATACCTACGACTTGCTGGAATGAAAGTTAACGTAGATGCAGCAGTTAGTCAAGAGGTTTTTGTCCGTTTGAACTGTGCCAGTACCATTTATGTACCAACCATGTAGGGTGTAGAGTTATATAAATCTGGCCCTGGGGGGAGCCTGTAGTCTGGTTAGAGAGACGAGATATGGAATCTGGGCCTCCATTTTCTCTTGGAGATAATATAATCTATCTTTGGGTTCTTCTGAGAATTACATGTGATAATGTTTGTGAAGAGTTAGGGCATAGCCCTCCTACTATTACCTTATTTTTCTTCTGCCCTCATGAGACGGGAAATGAGTGATTTATTCAGATAGTAGCAATGTCTCACAGTAACAGTGATTCTCAGACAGTATATGTTAAATGTCCAAAGAATAAAAAATTAAACACTCAACCCTTATTTATTTAGTTATAAATACTTTAAGTATTTATTTATAAAATAAATACATGAATTATTCTCATTAGCTAATATCTCAAGTACAATAATATTCCCTTAGATAAGGTTCATTGTTACTGAATTTAAATCTATAGTCTTTTAGTCGTTTTGACATTTTGGTTGACTTGTAATATTTGAATAAATTATCATTTTTCTAACTTAGATGTTGCTAAGAATAGAAGAAATGTCATCGCTATTTTATAATTGACTTTTGCTAAAGTTACTGGCATTATCTTTACTTTGGAGGGAGTATCTGCCCACTTTGATTTAATCAAAACTCAATCTGTATATCCTCTTAATTATGCATATAAACCACTTCTGCATCTTCATACTCTGAAATTAATAAATGAGGACCATAGCTGCCCCTTCCTCACTGAATCTCAGGGTACCTTTATACTTTCTTTCAGGTACCTTTATACTTTTCAGACCAGGCAGTGGTGTCAGTGATGGTTTGCATGTTGAATGAAGCTTAATTTCTTTCTTTTAGAGGCTGCTCCCTAGAGCTGTGATCCTCAGTGTGGTTTTTGGACCACCTGCAGCAGAATTACTTGGAGATGCTGGTTAACGTGGAGATTCTTGGGCTCCCCCTACACCACATTTAGGTGACAGAAGTTAAGACTCGCTGATAGTAGATCTAGGTGACATTGTGTCATCTGGTGCATATAGAATGTAAAGGAGAGAGAGTCCTAGGAACTGTCATTACGGAAGATACATATTTTCTTAAGTAAAAGATTTGAAAGAGTTTATATCAACTTCTAGAAGGCAAAGTGCCCCTCATAAACCTCTTTCTGTTAGACAACCGTTGCTGCTTTGAAAATTAGATAGTACATTTGAGTTTTTTACTTCAAAATTTGTTTTATAATTTTTTATTAGGTAGAAATTAAAGGTGGAACACATGATTATTACAATGTTCTTCCCAATAAGAGCCTGTGGAAAGCTTATACTGACAATGGAAAAAAACTGGGAATAGAATTCATTTCAGAAGATGCAGTGTTGAATGGCCCTTCAGGTAATTAGGTTTTTTCATATATATTTTGCTATTTGGGGAAGGAAATGCCATCTCTGGTTAAATGCTTTTGTTTAATTGTTTTGGAGGGAGGAGGGTATTGCTGAGGTTTTTAGTGGTATTTTGCACAGACTTCTTTTTTGGGGAAAAGAAACTAATGAACGTGTCAGTGAATGTGGTGTGTCAATTGAGCACATTCGTTTTTGTAAATAACCAACATACTTTTTGCTCTATATATTTCTGGTGTTTGAGTTTGTTTAGTTCTAATTTTTAAGTAAGTTATTTAAAGGAGAAATAGAATTTTAATTCATTCTAAGTCATCAATAAGCAGGTTACTGAGTATCTAGTCATATATGGAGGCATCTTCAGTCTCTGAGGAGTAACAACTATTAGAATTTAATCGTAAGTGTATTGGGGGTTATTTTAGATTTTTCTTCTTCTGAAGTGTTATTACTAGTATGTTTGCATGATAAAGATGTTATCTTCTAAACTATTAGTCTCTGAGGAGTAACAACTATTAGAATTTAATCGTAAGTGTATTGGGGGTTATTTTAGATTTTTCTTCTTCTGAAGTGTTATTACTAGTATGTTTGCATGATAAAGATGTTATCTTCTAAACTATAGTAAATGATGAAATCTCAAAAGAACTTGGTGATAAAAATGGTGTGTTGAAGTCATTCATTGAGATAAGTTCAAGAGAAATTGCAGGTTGGTGTTGTGGTAGGTTGGTATAATCAGTATGTTAAATTTGAGGTGCTTATAGGATTTCTGAGGGGAGCTGTCCAGTGGCCTGTTGAATCTAGAACCCCCAAAAGATGTCTAAGTTGGAGATTTAAGAGTTGTCAGTATCTGAAAGGTAATTGAAGTCATTGAGCTGATAAGGTTGCCCAAGTACATAGAAGTCAAAGCCCAAAGATGAAACCCTAGTTATCACCAGCACAGGTGGCACAGGAGCTCCAGAGAAGGAGATGGAGAGTGGTCAGAGAGAAAGCCAGACAATCAGGAGAGAGTGGGGGTTGTGGGGTCCAAAGGAGTAGAGAATTTCTAGAAGGGAAGGAGTAGTAAATCACGTCAAGTGCTATAGAGGATGAATAAGATAGTATGGTCTAGTATCTGCTCAACCAGGAATTAGACTCATGGATGGTCTTACCTTTCCAAGGATCTACTGATTTTGGAAATGTTACCTTTGTGGTTCCTGGGATTCATCCGTATTTTTACATTGGATCTAATGCCTTGAATCATACAGAACAATATACTGAAGCTGCAGGTAAGTATTACTAGAAGTGAATGTTTGCTCTTTTTTCATAGTACAAACTGCTTTTCTGTTCAGTTTAGCTTATTATTATTTCATTACCTGACTTAACTCAGAAAATTCTGTATTGTGGCAGTTGGAGGGGCAATTTAGACATTGAAAGCTAACTTGAAAACTAGTAAATCAATTTGTAATAAATATGGACGTATCTTAATTTGTTTTCTCTACCTTTAGGATCACAGGAAGCTCAGTTCTACACGCTGCGTACGGCCAAAGCTCTCGCAATGACTGCGTTGGATGTTATTTTTAAACCAGAGCTCCTAGAAGGAATCAGAGAGGACTTCAAATTGCAGCTTCAAAAAGAAGAGCTTTTAAACACAGAATAAAAGGAAGATTTAGGAGCCACTTACAGATCATTAAGAAGAACTGATGATTTTTACCTTTAATCTTTTTTAATGAAGAAAGAGGTCATGCTTGTTTTTTAATCTTAAAGGAATCAAATTCCTCTTACCTGAAAAAATGTGAGGACATGATGTGGAGAAAACACATTACTTCATATGTAAAATGAAAATTTGATGAAATTGTGATCTTTCAGGAGCTGGTATGTGATGGCTTTTCTTAGACAACCTGGATGATACAGTTTACCAACTATAATTTCTAAATTCATGTGTAAGTGTATTTTTGAAGATCCAAGAGTTCTTAAACCTTATATTGAGAATTAACACAGGAAAAATTTTTTTGGTATAGGGTGGTAAAATTGTCCTAGGAAATAGCTTTAAAATTCAAGTTCTAAATTTAAGGAAAGTTCGTTTTGTGACTATCTATACTGGTTTAGAGAATTTCTTTATTGATAATAAAAGTAGGTTTTTAATGAGAAATGCTGTGGGAAAGAACCAGAAACTTAGGTACAAAGAACAAGCTTTCGTTTTACCATTTGAAGGAAATGGTTCTTTTTTTTTGTATAATTAGCTCTTGGCATTAAAGTGCTATTTCTAATTCCATACTACTCTAATTGGAAAAGCATCCACAGCCAGGATTAGCCTTTCCTCTAAGGTGTTTGCTTGGTAGCTGGTGTGTTCTAGAGGAACTTAAGGAGCGAGGTGCCTATGTGAATCTTAATGTGATCCCCTCTACCTAGCAGCCCTGTCCAGACTTCTACTCGGAAGCCAGCCTGTTCAGCTTGAACAATATTGTGGTTTACTGAAGTTGGGGACAATTCTAAGCCTCCTTAAGCCCCATGCTAGCCCAATATTAATTAAAGGATATTGTAAGTTTTTCCTGTTCTTTTTTTGGTGTGAATTTCTTGAATATGCTAAAATAATAAAATAATGTGGAAAAAAGTATGTAGTAAAAACACATATTTTAAACTATGAATATAGTAAAGCTCTAGCACATTATTTTTAAGGGAGTCCTCATATTAGTGTATTCCAAAAATGGAAAGGGAAGGAGAGAAAAGTGAGCATTTGGCTTCTGTGCAGTAAGCAGGTCACTTGAGCCCTCCTTAGCTCCCCGATTGGAAAGTTAGATTAGATCACTTACCTTTACAGTCCTTTGAATCTCTGATTCCTGTTCTATCTGAAGTTATGTAGAGTTGACAGAAAGAGAAGGGTATTTTGGGGGAGAGTTAGCAGTTGAGAATTTTCTTCTGTATCAGGTCTGCAAACTATGGTCTGATTTGGCAAGCAACCTGATTTTATATTGTATGGGTAGTGCACTAACAATAATCTTTACCTTTTTGAAGAGTTGTAGGGAAACAAAATATCAGAGACCAAATTATGTAACTTAGAAAACCTAAAATATTTACTATCTGACCTTTTATAAAAAAGTTTGCCAGTCTGTTTTATGTAACAGTAAAATTAGACCTATTTCTCTCTGATTTATATTACATAATCAGATCTTTACCTAAGATAAAATGTCAAACATGAAAACATTTGAGAAAGGGATTTAGATGGCATTGCCCTGGTGGTGACCATTATAATGCATCAGTGGCTTGTTCTCACTGGGAGTTCTAGCACTTAAGAAGTTTTCTTTTAACTTTTCATTCATTTCACTCTGAGATACAGCTACCCTGCTGCCTTAAGACAGTCCCCTGTGCAAGCCAGTCTTCAAACTCTTCTTATCAGCTTTTAGAATGTGATCCTCCATGATCTTCTGTTTATCTGTCATCTCAAGTAGTAGTTGTTGGTATATATTTTATAGACAGGAGAGGGATCAATAAAGGCTTCTGGCTGAGAATTGGGTATGTCTCAGACCTCTGGCTTACATAAACAGAATTAGTTTCCTAATTATCAGTTTAATAAATTTATCAACTACAAGTTTTAAATTCCTTGTGTAAATCCTCTAAGGCACACAGTTTATTTTCTAAAGCCGTGATAAAATTTAAGAACAGTGATTGTTCACTGGCATCCTGACACACTAATATTCTCCCATCTTCTGTGAAGTGTCACAAGTTGTTACTCAAAAAAGTGTTTGTATTTTGCTTGTGATTAATTTACCTTTTAAAAACAAATGAAAATTTCAGGTTAGCATTTTGTTAACTGATGCACTTGCATTCTGGTAAGTATCCTTGTGTGAGAGCAAGATATGGGGTTGCAGATGGCATGCGTAACCTACACTGATGCTGTCTGCCACCAGCCAGTGTGAGGAACTAATATTGATGTGCCACAGAGATTTGCATCACTTCTGAGTTTCTGTAATATTTTATCTCCCTTTCAGTTTTTGAAAATTTTGGTCAGAATACGGGTTGACCCATTGGAGTGTGTGGTGGACTTACCCCGTCAGAAAAGAGATTGAGAGCTGATTCTCTAGAGCTGATGCAGAGCTATTGTTTTGTTTTCAGATCTTACCTTGATATATTATTTTACTTTAACAGTTATTTTGTATAGTTCAGGGTTTATATACCAGTGAGTTAATTGAGCCATATTACACTAAAAACTGTAAATAAATAGAATTAGTTGGTACTATTAATTACTAGGTTGCTATATACCATATATTAAGATTAAGTATAGCTAATACTTAGCTTGCCTCTTAAACTTTGTTGACTATTTCTTAGTTTTAAAACTGTATTTAATCTACTCAGGAAATGTTTCCCTTTTAATTGCTTCTATAGCAGTCATAAAGGCTGGGGCTTTTAGGATAAACTAGAACATTTTCATGTGTTTATGAGTACTTGTATAAACTGAAAGTGTTTTGATTTCCCACAGTCCTCCAAAGTGCTGTTTATTTGTTGATATATTGACATTTTAACTTCAAATATCTGACTCACAACAAATGTTTCCACATTTGTTGAAGAATGCCTACTTCTAAGCACTGGGGGAAAGAAGAGTAAGACATGGTCCATGCCCCAAGGAAGTGTGTGGTTGGTGGCAAGTCCTTTTAAGATTTACTTCATATAAGCAACACTGGGATTGAGGAAACATCTGAAAGCTACTCTCTTGGAAGTGGTTGAGGAAGTGTTTCTAAAATATTTTCAAATATCTGACTCACAACAGTCTGTTGGAATAGAAGAAATTGATATGAAAAGGCATTCTTAAAAGAATGATTGATACTCTTGTTAAAAAACCCTTCTGATAGTTGTGTTCTATACATTTCTTGCTTCTTACCTGAAGCATCTCTTTAGTCTTATGGAAAATGGTCTACATAGTACTAGCCTTCAAACTATCAAATTTTCATTGTAAAATAAATCAGTTATCTTGGTGCCAGCTAGCAACTCTGTAAGAGGCTGTAAGGTCTGATTGACTTTTTTTTTTTTTTTTACGTACTTCAAGCATTTGGCAATCCGATTATATAATTGAGGATGGTACATCTTGATATAATATATGAAGTGAATGTTTTCAAGTAAACAGTCTCTACTATCAGATTATAGGAGTTTTTTGTAATATTTTCATACATACTAGGATATGTATGAAGAAAATATCAATAAGTATCTTTAATAGCAATTATCTTGTGGTTTTTCTCAACATATGTTTGGAGATAAGGAAATATATGAAGATAAAGCACAAATACCCAAATACACTGTGGTAGGTTCACTGCCTTATTAATTCATCAGTACAGATGTTGATTTGCTTTTAAATTATGTCATATTATTCATATAATTAGAAAAAGGAACAATAAAGTCCCTTTATTTAAGGAGGAATGTTTTACTAGTCTCAGAAGCTAGGAAATGCGAGTGCAAATTGTACATCTATTCATAATTAAGAGTAAGATACATAATTACAGTGTTGAATTTTCTTTAAAAAATTTTTTTTCAGCTTCAATACAAAGTAATCTCTATGCAGTTCAAACTAATAGAACAGGTTTTTAGAATCTTATCAATGATTAAAGAAAAAGTGATTCACAAAGCACATCCATGTAACACAAAGGAAGAAACACAGAAACCCTGACGAAATGAGGAGGCAGAGGAGTATGTTCCAAACAAAACTACAGGATAAGACATCAAAAAGAGGGCTAAATGAAACAGATCACCCATCTTCTTGATAGTTTTCAAGGTAAAAATAAATATGCTCACTGATCTGCAGAAATGTATTAGATAATCTCATGATGGATTTCAACAGAGATACAAGAGCTGAAGAATGCAGTAACTGAAATGAAACATACAATGGAGGGAATGAGTAATTGCTGCAAGTAGAGGAGACAACCAATGAGATGGAAGTTAGAGAACAGGAACACAAAAGCCCCTGAGGCACAGAGGGAAAAAAGGATCTCTAGGAATGAAAGAATGATAAAGAGGACTGTGACCAATTCAGACAAAACTTCTCACATAATAGGGATACAAGGAGGAGAGAGAGTCAGTCAGAGATAGAAAGTCTCTTTAAGGAAGTAATTGTTGGAAACTTCCCCAATCTGAGGAAAGAAATAGACATTCAGGTCATGGAAGTGCAGAGAGCTAACAAAAGGAATCCCAGGAAGAAAACACCAAGACAATAATTAAAATGGCCAAAGGATAAGGAGAGAGTATTGAAAGTAGCCAGAAAGAGAAAAAAGATCACTTATAAAGGAAACCCCAACAGGCTATCGGCAGACTTCTCAGCAGAAACCTTACAATATAGAAGGGAGTGTCATGAAATATTTAATGTATTGAAACAGAAGGACCTTCAACTAAGAATCCTCTACCCAATGAGATTACCATTCCCATTCAAACTTGAAGCATGGATTAAACAATTTACATGTAAACAAAGGCTCAAAGAATTTATAGTAACTAAACCAGCATTATATGTTAAAGGGATTGCTATAGATGGAAATGTTGTTAAAACTAGTTTTCACCAGTGAAAATTTACAGTAAAGGTAACAGGCCAATTAATTACCAAGCAAATACAAAATGAAAACAAAACCAAAGTAGCAAAACCAACTATACACAAAATCCTTCAAGGAATACACAAAAAGTGCAGGTTATGACATCTAATATATGAAGTGTGGAGGAGGAAGAAGGAGAAAAGTACTTTTAGATTGTGTTTGAAATGAAACAATCAGCAATTTAATATAGACTATTATATAGTCAGGAAGCTATCCTTGAATCTTTGGTCACCACTAACTTAAAGACTATAATAGAATACACAAAAAGTATAAAAAGTAAAACCCAACCACAACACTAAAGAAAACCACCAAAATCAAAGGAGAATGTAAGAGGAAAAAAGGAACAGAGAGGAGATACAAAAGCAGAAAACAATAAAATGGCATTAAATACATACCCATCAATAATTATCTTAAATGTAAATGGATTGACTGCACCAATCAAAAGACAGAATGGCAGAATGGAAAAATAAGACCCACCTATATACTGCCTACAGGAGACTCATTTCACACCCAAAGATGTACACAGACTAAAAATGAAGGGATGGAAGAAGATATTTTGTGCAAACAATAGGGAGAAAAAAGCAGGAAACAAAATACTTAGACAACTTAGACAAAATGTATTTCAAAACAAATAACAAAAGACAAAGGACATTACATAATGATAAAGGGGTCAGTCCAGGAAGAGGATATAACAATAGCAAAAATCTATGCCTCCCACATAGGAACACCTAAATATGTAAAACAAATACAGAATTAAAGAGGAAAAAGATTGTAACACATTGTTTGTAGGAGATATTAACACATCACTCACATCAGTAGATCAACCAGAAAGAAAATAAATAAGAAACAGCGGCACTGAACAATACATTAGATAAGATAGACTTCACAGATTTCCACAGAAAATTCCTCCCAAAAGCAGCAGGATACACATTTTTCTCAAGGGTACTTGGAACATTCTCCAGAGTAGATCACATACTAGGCCACAAAAAGAGCCTCAATAAATTCAAAAAGATTGAAATTGTATCAAGTCACTTCTTAGACCACAGTGATATGAAAGTAGAAATAAATTACATAAAGAAAACAAAAAAGCCTACAAATACATAGAGGCTAAACAACATGCTTCTAAATAATCAATGGATCAATGACCAAATTAAATCAAGCAATGCATGGAGACAAATGAAAACAAAAATACAACAGTCCAATATGTGTGGGACCCTGCAAAGGCCATTTCAAGAGGAACATACATAGCAATACAGGCCTATCTCAAGAAACAACAACAATCCCATATAAAAAGCCTAAACTCACAATTAAAGAAACTAAAAAAGAACAAATGAAACCCAAAGTTAGCAGGAGGGACATAAAGATCAAAGCAGAAATTAATATAGAGAAGAATAAAATGGAAAAAATTAACAAAACCAAGAGCTGGTTCTTAGAGAAAATAAACAAAATAGATAAGCCCTAGCCTGACTTTTATCAAGAAAAAAGTGTACACACATAAACAGAATCATAAAGAAGGAATAATCACAATGGATACTGCAGAAATAAAAATTATTAGAGAATACCATGAAAAATTATATGTCAATAAATTGGACAACCTAGAAGAAATGAACAAATTCCTAGAAAAGTAGAAGCTTCCAAGATTGACCCAGGAAGAAACAGAAAATCTGAGCAGACCAATCACTGGCAATGAAATTGAATTGGTAATAAAGAAAACTCCCAAAAAACAACACCATTACCAGACAGCTTCACAGCTGAATTCTACCAAACATTTAAACAAGAGCTAATACCCATCCTTCTTAGAATATTCCAAAAACTAGAAGAAGAGGGAATCCTACCAAACTCATTCTGAGGCCAGCATAACTATAATACCAAAACCAGGAAAAGACACTACGAAAAAAGAAAATTTTAGACCAATATCCCTGATCAAACTAGATGCAAAAATCCTCAACAAAATATTAGCAAACCAAACTAAAAAATACATTAAAAGGATCATCCATCACCACCAAGTGGGATTTATTCTAAGGATGCAATGATGGTACAGTATGTGTAAGTCAATCAGTATGATACACCATACTAACAAAAGGAAGGATATAAACCACATGATCATCTCAGTAGATGCTGAGAAAGCATTTGACAAAATTCAACATTCTTCATAGTAAAAATTCTCAACAAAATGGGCATAGAGGATACACATACCTCAACATAATAAAGGCCATATATGACAAACCAACAGCTAACATACTCAAACGTGAAAAGCGAGAAGCTTTTCCTCTAAGATCAGGAACAAAACAAATATCCACTCTTAACACTTTTATTCAACATAGTACTGGAGGTCCTACCCACTGCAATCAGACAAGACAAACAGACTGTAAAAGGAATCCAAATTGGTAAGGAAGAAGTTAAACTGTCACTATTTGCAAATGACATGATATTATACATAGAAAACCCTAAAGACTCTACCAGAAAACTATTAGAACCAATTAACTATATTCAGCAAAGTTGCAGAATACAAAATTAATACAAAGCAATCTGTTGCATTTCTACATGCTAACAATGAAATAGGAGAAAGAGATATCAAGAAACAATTCCATTTATAATTGCATCAAAAAGGATAAAATACCTAAGAATAAACCTTAACCAAGGCAGTGAACAACCTGTACTCTGAAAACTACAAGACACTCATGAGAGAAATTAAAGAGGACACCAAGGAAATATATCCCATGCTCATGGATAGGAAGAATTAATATTGTCAAATGGTCATTCTGCCTAAAGCAATCTACAGATTCAATGCAATCCCTATGAAAATATTAACATTTTTCAATGAACTACAGCAAATAACCCTAAAATTCATATGGAACCAAAGAAGATCCCCAATAGCCAAGCAATCCTCATAAAGAAGAGAAAATAAAGAGAAGAAAAAATAAAGAAGAATAAAGCTATGGGAGATAATGTGCCATGACTTCAAGCTATACTTCAAAGCCACAGTAATCAAAACAGTATGATACTGGCACAAGAACAGACCCATAGATCTATGAAACAGAATAGAAACCTGGATGTAAACCCACACATATATGGTCAATTAATACATGATAAAGGAGCCATGAGTACACAGTGGGAAAAAGACAGCCTCTTCAATAACTGGTGTTGGGAAAACTGATCAGCTACTTACAAGAGAATGATACTGGATTACTGCCTGACTCCATACACAAAAGTAAACTGAAAATGGATCAAAGACCTGAATGTTAAGACATGAAACCATAAAACTCTTAGAATAAAACAGGCAAAAATCTCTTGAATATAAGTATGAGCAATTTTTTTCTGGACACATCTCCTTGGGCAAGGGAAACAAAGTAAGAAATGAACAAGTGGGACTACATCAAACTAAAAAGCTTCTTTACAGCACAGGACACAATCAGCAGAACAAAAAGCAACCTACAGTATGGAAGAATTTATTTGTAAACAATTTATCTGATAAGGGGTTAACATCCAAAATATATAAAGAACTCATATGCCTCAACACCAAGAAAACAAATATTCCAATTAAAAAATGGGCAGAGGACCTGAAAAGACATTTCTCCAAAGAAGAAATGCAGATTTCCACCAGGCACATGAAAAGATGCTTCACATCGCTAATCATCTGGGAAATGCAAATTAAAACCACAATGAGATATCACCTTACACCAGTAAGGATCTCCACCATCCAAAAGACAAGGAATAACAAGTGTTGGCGAGGATGTGGAGAAAAGGGAACCCTCCTACACTGTTGCTGGGAATGTCAATTGGTATAGTCACTGTGGAAAGCAATATGGAGGTTTCTCAAAAAAACATAAATAGAAATACCAGTCAACCCAGTAATTCAACTGCAAAATTACCTGAAGAAAATAAAACCCCTGATTCAAAATATATATGCACCCCTATGTTTATTGCCACATTATTTACAGTAGCCAAGATATGGAAGTAACTTAAGTGTCCACCAATAGATGAATGAAGAAGATGTGGTACATATACACAATGGAATATTGTTCAGCCATAAAAAGAAAAATCCTACCATTTGCAACAACCTGGATGGATTTAGAGGGTATTATGCTCAGTGAAATAAGCCAGGTGGAGAAAGATAAATACTAAATTTTTTCACTTATTTGAGGAATATAAAAACAAAGCAAAACAGCAGTAGACTCATAGACATGGAGAAGTGACTAGTAGTTATCAAAGGCGAGGGGTTGGGGCAGGGGATGGGGGAGGAAGAGAGGGATAAAAGGGCACAAAGTTGGTCACAGGGATGGTGGTACAGCATGGAAAATATGGTTCATGATTCCATAACATCTTTCTACATTGATAGGTAGTAACTGCACTAGATGGGGTGAGGATTCAATAATATTGATAACTGTTGAACCACTGTGCTGTACATCTGAAACCAACATAAGATTGTGTATCAATGATACTTTAATTTTTTTAAAAAGGGGGGGTGCTACCTACTACTTCCTAGTAGGAAGCTGTCAGAAATCTTTCCAGTTTTCATCAAGCCCAGCTGTACTTCTGTTTACTTCTTATCTGTGAGATCCTGCTGTATTCTGTTTCTTTCTTTAGCTAGTTTGACTGGATTACTGTTACATGTAATCAAATGCCAACTTGAATGCTATGGTAATTCAATTTTGTTATGGAACAGTATTACAAAATGGAAATACAGTTGTAATGCTCTACCTTAAACCTCTAGGTTATAGGTAAGGCTACCAAATGTTTATAATCATGCCATATTTCATAGTTAAAAGACATTTTGTAAGGATTAGTATTTGGAATGGCAAAGCCAGGAACTTGTAGGTAGGTTTATATTAAACTGTAATCATAGTATTTTAGGGAGAAGATGGAACATTAAGAATGATTTTAAATAAAAATAGTTATGCACAGGTGTACAACATGAGAAAATGGTGCCAATTTGGGGTGACAATTGAGTTTCTGAGATCATTTTTTCTTCTCTCATAGTGCTTGAACTATTTTTCTAGACATATCATTAAATTGGGCAATACAAAAGTTGATTATTTTCCAAAAGGTCTAAGAGAAACCTACTAGAAAATTACAGGTTGTAACACGCCTGAATGAGATTTAAAACTTGGCCTTTGCATAGAGGAAATTTTGTTATTACAGCCCTTTAAAATCTCCTAAAGCAATGTCTGTGCCTTTTCATTTAATCCTCATCAAATAATTTCATTGACCTCTCGGCTTGCAAAAATTCCTGTTCCCTTGGGATCCATCATTTTTATGGACAACGTTTTGGAATTACATCCATCTAGGTTCTACATTACAACAAAGAAACTCAAAATTATTTGCATTTCTTGTCAGAACCTGTTTGCTTGCTCAAATGGTGTTAATACTACTCTTAGAAAGGTCAGTTCTTAAGACAAAGAAATGGGAATTTGGGAGGATTTATTTTTGCCTCACTTTATAGCATTGTGTTTCCTTGTCTTATTTTCAGTTTTCAGAATAAATTAGGTCTGTAAAAGGTTTAAAGGGCTTTTATATATGGGAGAATCACAGAGTTTAGATAGGTATAGATGGGTTCAGTCTACAAAATTCCAAAGCAACTATTCAATTCATCAGACTAGTCAAACTGTCAGACATTGCACAGACCCAAGAGAGACTGAATTTTATCTCACAGTCATTAGGGTTGTGTTTAACTCTCATTTGGCCTGAAAATCTAAGTGTTGTTTGGTTTTTTTTTCCCCTTGCTAACTAGATACTAAATTTTCATCAAGAATTTAGTTCATCTTACTCTCTTTTTATACTTAGTCTGTGTCCCTTACTATGAGTTCTGTGGTGAATCATCACAAAATGAAAGGTTTCTGTACTTGAAACTTTGAGTCCTTAATACAAATGATGCTGTACTGAACAGAGTATTGAATCATGAGCAATAAGCTTCCGACTTACAGATAAAATGTACAGTTGGCGTTCATGTAAGTTAACCTCACTTAGGAAAGCCTGGGTTTGATTCTCAAGGAGATCCAGTTACCTTCATTCAGTTCTCATGGTCTAGGCCTGTGTCCCAGTCAGCTGCCCTACAAATGCATGTGTTTTATCACAATCAAGACTGATTGTGACAATCCAGAGCTTTAAGAGCTACTTGTGGAGACCCACTAAACTTCACCAATACGTAAATTGTTTTTGAAGTAAACCAGAAAGCATTTGGAAAATACTCTGGTCTCAAGAAAAACAAAGATGTCTCCTTTCACACAAAGGTACAAAGACTAAAAATGATGGGAAGAAAATAGATTAAAATTCTGAATATGGAATTGAGAAGTTAAAGCATCCATTTATTTTGAGAGTTATGATCATACCGAAATGAGCTAAATGGTATTACTAACATTGATGTGTGTGTTGGATAATGTACTTTCTTATTACCACAGGTATTAAAATTTCCCTCACAGCAATCTTTGAAATTCGGTTGTTGGAACATGATTGTTCTTGATAACATCAAAATGAAATTGACCTTTCAGCTCATGCTCTATTGTAACATTGTGCTTTACATGCACACATGGTATTGGGCTCCACAGTCAAACCCACAAGTCCATGTTCTTAGAGGATGGAATGCAGGCATAGGCCTAGGTTTTGTGAGGGACTCTCCACTTTTAAAAAACGCACCATTAAAAAAGTCTACAGATTGGAAATTTAGAAAAAAATTAACTGGCCCAACCCCACAGATGGTTTGAGAAGCACTGGTCTTGAACATTGCATGCTACATGATATGCGCTCACTATTGTTGATTGAATAAATAAATAAAAAGGTGCCATGGACTGGTTAAAAAAATATTTCTTCACACTAGTGTTTGTGAATTGTATGTGATAGTTTGTTTACTTGTTCAGTGTTCATCCATCATCTGTAATGAGGTGCATGAGAATTGAGTTAGGAGCCTTTCGTTTATTACCCATGTCGTCTGCATGCCATTTGGTCGGCCTTTCACTGGCTTTGAAGTTTCCTCACTCAGGTTTAAATGAGACAATAAATGTGGAAATATTTTTTTGTAAAACTGGGTTTTACAGATGTGAGATTTCATCGTTTCTAACATGCCATTTTTTATTCTCCCTAAAGTCTAGGATCACTACTCTTCTCTATAAAATAGGAATTAAGAAAATACTAAAGAATATTGGTTAGGAATATACAACACAGGAAGAGAATATTGCCATTAAGTAGGGCTGGTCTGACTAACCCCAATTCCCTCCTGGCTAACACTCTGCACAACTTTACAAAGTCCACATTGTATTCACCCCAATGATGCAAAACCCTCAAAACCCTGAAGTGCCCTCTGGACTACCAAGCAAAGAATAAATTACATTAGATATAGCTTCAGGTCAAGTGTACTTTATAGTATTTTAACTCCCTAAAAATTATTCAGTATGGCCTCATGCTACCTGCCTCTTAACCAGACAATATTATTGACCAAATCTTCCAACTGTCCAATCACTCCAGCAAAAGTTTATTAAGTACGATGGAGCCCACAGATAAGGTGAGGTTTTCTCTAAAATTATTCATCAGAAAAGAGGGAGTTGTTTTATATTTGGGTCTTCACAAAGTCATACTACAGAGTTCTCAGTTACACAGCTTTGACAGCAAAGTACTGCCTTGAGAAAGCATTCGCCTGGAAATGACCTCAATCGACGCTAGTTTGAAATGCTTGTAGAGGTCACCTGAGAGAATCAGAATCACCAGAAAAGGCAGCAAACTTTAACATGAATTTAATTACCTGTTCTCTATAATTGCTAGTGGGGACATCGATGTAAACAAGCTTTTAAAGGGCCTCTAATCCAGTATGACCAGTGTCCCTATATGAAAAGGAAGAAACACCAGGGGTGCATGCACTCTGAGAAAAGGCCAGGAGAAGCCCCAGCAGGAAGGTGGCCGTCTGCAGGCTGAGGAGAGAGGCACCAAGAGAGAGCAAACCTGCCGACACCTTGACCTTGGACTCCAGCCTCCAGAGCGGAGAGGAAATGCATTGCTGCTGTTTAAGCCACCCTGTCTGTGAGACTTTGCTGTGGTGGCCCAGGCCGACTAATGCAGCACCCTGTGTGCTGGCTCAAACAGCAGTTTCCCAAACAAAGTAGGGGAAGTTCAGGTGCTGTGCCCTGGAAACCTGCTGGGTGACTCACAGTGGCCCTGTCATGAGGAAGGAGCACGTGACAAAGCTGTTTGTGAAGAGTTTGAAATTGTTTCACAAAGTAAACTTGAAAAAATGTTTTAAAAATATATATTTTTATATTAAAAGGATTTAACTATTCCATCTATTTCCCTTTTTATCAACTTTTGATGAGCTTTTATTAGGAGAAATGTGAGGCTGCCTTGTAATTAGGGTTTTTGGTTTTTTTTCAGATTAAAGAATAGCCCTCACATGAAGAAATTTCATAATATTTAGTATGGATGATCAGCCAAATTAACTTTGGAATGAAAATGACATTGTTTATAGAATTCACTTTATTAAAGTGAGTTTCAAACAATTGCTGTCTGGATCAATTTGGTGCGGGTTGATCCTATAGATATATGGTGAATAATTGTTTTTAAATAATAAATCAAATGCAAACCCTCTCCTTTCCTCTAACCCCATGCTCTGACATCAGTGGCCACCGTTTTCTGGTTCAAAGAAAATGCTGGAATTCACTGAGTATAAATGGAGATGTCCAGTGATGGCTTCCCATCCTCTTGTTTTTTTTTTCTTTCAGAAACCATGTGAGTATTTCTCATCCTAGTGAGTTACAGGTAGTCCCAAACTATGCATTTTCTTGAAATGTTGATGCAGAAAAAGTCAGTTCCTCAAGGTCCTCAGTGAGGATAGAGCATTACTGAGAAAGGACTTCACTTTGAACTGGGACATGCCCCAAGGTGGAGACACATGAGGGAGTGATTATGAAACAGAGACACAAGTTTCTAGGCTACTTATCTCTAAGACAAAATGGTCAAAATGAGTGTATGTGCCCTCTTCTTCAGTTTTCTTACCAGGGAAATTCCCACCAAAAGTGGAAGCCTGCACCAATCTAAAGAGCTATTCTTGTGAATAGGTAAAACTTCATGGGCTATACGATGTAAATAAAAGTGGGAATACTGTTATTTCCTTGTATTAAAATAACCATGAGATAGAGAAAAAATGGGTAATAGAGTATAAACGGAAGCATGAATTTTGGTCAACGTGGGGACTTAGGTACATGTATGTTCCATGCAAATGAACTTTAGGTGCTTCCCAATTCCACCTAGTCCAGGGAATACAGTGACACTCACGTAGAGGCTGTCGTTCATGTGAGGAAGCATCTAGGGTCTAAAAGAAGTTGAACTACAGGGGGCCCCCAACACGGGCAGCACTGCTTTTCCACAGCACTATGCTAACAACTACCCTCAGTTGCTACAGGGTGTATATTCCTGCAGCACCAGGTAAACGCTATATATACAAAAGGTGGTTAATAAGTGCTTTTTGAACCAGTAAGTGTCAATGTAATTTTGGAAAACTGGAGAAGGGTGGGTCCTGGGAACTTGGTTTTCATCATAAGTTTAAATTACTTTTCATCATACAGATATTTCTATGGTACATCCAGAAGAATGTGAAATTTATAGAATTACAGGCATTTATGAGAAAATAGACCAGTATATTAAATTGAATAAAATGAATGCCGCTGGGAAAATTATCCTGGAGTATTTATCAATGGCATGGGTGTCAATCCTCATGCTCACGTAGCTGCTCCTCTGACTTTTCCTCTGTGGGGAGCTCCTCTCCGAGGCCAGGACCAGCTGCACCATCGTCCTGTCCGGCTTCTCTCTACTCCCTAGCACGCAGCTGCCCAGACCGTTCACCTCGCCGTCGCTGTAGCTCCTGTCCAGCATGGTGGCCCGCGACTGAGATGACCCGCAGGGGCAGGCAAGCTGTGAACACAGCAACACATTGGGATGTGAGCTCAGCTTCATCTCTCGGAAGCCCTTCTGAAGAGCCTGCCTAGTGGAGGGGACTGTCTTTTTCTAGAGTCTTTATTCCCAGTCGGGGGCGGGGGGGAGGGTAAGAAAATACTGGTAATGGCACTGTAGCCATTCTAAATAGCAGGTATCCATTTTTTCTTGACTTAAGTCTACCTATCATCTCTGAGGAAACATCATTGTTGTATCAGAGACCAACAAGAATGCTCATGATCAGATGACAGCCCTGTTCTTTTCCATAAGACCATGAACTGATAGGATCCCTGATAAAAACGGGTTTATGGATAGCTCTGTGTATGTGTGTGTGTATGTGTGATGGGTGGGAATTTGAAAGGTGTGGCATTGTGGGGATAGTTTACTCCTATACAGTTGTACTTTTCTGGAGGAGATAACTATTTAACTGCAAACAGGAGGAAGAAAAGAAAGCCAGGTGGGAGGGAAGATGATCTAGGTGGGAGGGAAGATGATCTAGGCAATGATGGAAAATATATGAGGTCACATATGAAGGAAAATTTCCTAGAACAGAGAAATGTGCTTCCCTGAAAGTTTCTTTTATTACACCTCTGTGTTCATAAATAATTTCTTCTACCATGTTGAATTGTCATTTATTTTTATCACTAAGCTATGAATGCCAGCATTAAAGGGACCATGTCTTAGTTAATTTAGCTCAGCTCCTGGTATACAGTAGTTGCTAAATAAGTGCTTGAGTGACTGAAAGATGCAGCCCAAAGTAAATTTCACACTGTTTTAACATATTAATATATTTGCTCTTCATACCAACCCATGAAGTAAGTGTGGGGGCGGTGTCATTTACCCCACTTTACAGGGAAGGTCTGACCTGCCCAAGGTCCAGAGCCAGACCAAGCCTCATCCCTGAGCAGCTCATGGTAAAGTCACCTTCTCCCGCAGCTCGCGCTCCTTCCGCTCCTGCACGGTGGTCAGGTAGTTGACAGCCGCGTACTCCAGCACCGACAGGAACACGAACACAAAGCTGACCCAGAGGTAGATGTCCACGGCCTTGATGTAGGAGACGCGGGGCATGGAGGCGTTCACACCCGTGATGATGGTGGACATGGTCAGCACCGTGGTGATGCCTGCAGAGTGAGAAATAAGCACGTTTGCATTTCTCCAAACATGCTGGATGGCTTCGTGCCTCCGTTCTTTGTTCCTCCTGCACCTTCAGCCTGGAACGTCTCCATCCCTGCCCTTCTGTCCAGCAAACACCCACTCATCTTTCAAGATTTAGAGTCTACGAAGCTTCTCCTGGTCCTCCACCCTTCAGGCCCGCACTTTCCCCCTCTGTATACCTGCATATACATCGTAGCACCTGTATCACTTTGTCTGGCAGAGAGCCCCAGACATTTTGGCAATAAAACATTTATTTCCATTCAATTATTTAAAACAAAGATGGCATATTTGAGCAGGTATATATGTTTCTTGTAACTACTTCTCCAAATAAGGGGGGAAAGTGTGCAAGTTCTCTCTTAATATTTGTGCCTTTGCTGCTGCTGGTGGAGCTGTAGCTCTGGGCCTGTGTCATCAGCTGTCAGGGCGGCTCTGGCAGCTGTCCCCCCTGCTGGACCTGGCTACCCGCACAGCAATGTCGACTTGAGGACTCAAAAGTAATTTGTCCAAGAATGATGTTAACCTCATTTATGGGAGACAGATTTTTTAAATCAATCAGAAGGTTTATTTATTTAGCACAGTAATTGTGCAAGCTGCAGACCAACTGTTAAAGGACAGGGCATCTGTCAGTGGGAAATTTGCCTGGGGATTTCAAATTAAGCTAAGAACACTTGCTTGGAAAATACCAAATCACAGGGGAGAGGAGTCATCTTAAGGGCCAGCTCCAATGCACTTTCACTAAAACCTGGTGGGTCTCCCTCTCTTCTTGAAGCCCCTGAACCATCCGAGCAGTGGTGGTGTGTGTGACTGACCAGGTGCAATATTTAAAGTGGGGAAAAAAACCGGTGGCAAATTGCCATCAGTTTAAGGGAACGCGCACAGAATAGGGATTCACAGACTTAAGCATGTTTAAGAATTACTAGGAGAGCTTGTTAAAAAATACAGATTCTTGGTCCTCTCTCAGAGATTCTGACTCTATACATGTAGACGGGACCCAGGATTTTTAAAAAATTATTTCCCTCACAGATTCTGTCACAGAGATCCATTGCACCACCCTTTGAGAAACCCTGTTCTAGGATGCGATTCCTTATTTAGGTGGGCAGAGAAAGCACCCACAGAGCAGGGCCACCCTCCCCAGTGGCTCAAACAAGAGTAAAGGTGGGCTGTTTGCAAGGGCATCAGTGGAACTAGAAACAGTTTTGTTAATGGCTTTCGTCTGTGGATGAATAACTTGAGGTTTGTCCAAGTTATAATGCCAATGAGGGGTTAGGACCAATTTGATATGATTGGTTTTATCTGGGAGGAATTGTATTTTCAGATGCCTGGAATGTGCATTTGAGATGTTCCTTACCTAAGGGGACTCTGGCGGGCACAGCTCTGCGGTCAATCCAGAAGGACACCCAGGACAGCATGACCATCAGGGTGGCAGGGAAGTAGGTCTGGAGCAAGAAGAAGAAGATGTGGCGTCGCAAGGTGAAGTTGATGTACAGACGGTTGTACCAGCCTGGGGGACACAAGGAAGAGAAGATAACACAAACCGTAGCTACTCAGCTCTTCCATGACATGCATTTTATTCAGGGAATCATCAATGCCTTAGACACTGCCTGGAACTTTACCATACCTTATAAAGTGGAAGTGAGGAAAACCATGGAACAGGGTGATTACCCATGGAAGAGAGGCGATAACCCACACCTCCTTATGGAGGGAAATGTGTTCTACATTAAAACACCAAGCCAACCACATTTTGGGACAGAGTGAACAATCAAAGGTCCAGCTGCGCTTTAGCTCAGCCCTTGTGTTCTTTACAAGGAGCTGAGAGAAATGAGAGGATGGAAGGAAAAGGCAGGATAAGCTTGAAATGATGAGGATGGAAAATAAAAGGGTGACTTGGAAACATTCACTTGAAAAATTTGCATCCTGGACAATTCTAATGCAACGGTTATCGTTAGAATTATAGAAATTCCAGAAAGTGATTGTAGGGGTGCTATTGGGTGAATGCATCCCCCAAAATTCGTATGTTGAAACCTAATCTTCTATATGATGGTATTTGGAGGTGGGGCCTCTGGGAAGTGATTACATCATTGGTGGGATTAGTGCCCTTATAAAAATGAGTCAAGAGCTCCTTCACCCCTTCCTGCATGTGACGGTACAGTGAGAAGGTGGCTGTCAATGAGATAAGAAGTGGGATCTCACTGGGCCCTGAATCTGCCAGCACCCTAATCTTGACTTCCTAGTCTCCAGAACTGAGAAAAATGTTTATTGTTTAGCAGCCACCCAGTCTATGGCACTTCATTACAGCAACCCAAACAGACTGAAACAAGATGTAATGTCAGAATGCTAAAGGTCAAAGCAACAGGGGGCCCCCAAAAGACCAAGAGTCATGGGTGAACCCGTGTCCCTTTTGGGACTTAAAAGGTTGTACTTCCTTGTGCAGGCAATGATGCAAAGCATTAGCACCAGAAACTGCATAAGGATTTGAGCAATATCCTGAAAGGTGATTAGTCAACAAAGAGGCAAGGGTTGGAGAGAGTGAACTTCAGCCTTTAAGCTCAGCTTCCAGGAAGACCACAGGGCATGATCTCAGGCAAGGGGGGTGGCAAGCCTGTTCAGACCCTTGGTCAAAAAGGAGCAACACTGCCCCAGGAAAATGACTGGCAATTTCTGCACCGAGGATCACAAGATGGTCATAAGGAGAGTCTGTGCCAGCAGTATAGTAATAGGGGATTGGTTAAGAGTGGAGCCCCCCAAAGGGGCAGACTGAAGCAGAGAGAATGTGAGTGGAAAACAACAGACCTGAAATTGGACTGTGCCTTGCTGGTAGGCACAGGGGCTCCGGCAATCACATTAGGAGTGAGATGCCGGCTACTAAGCTGTCGGTGTGATTGTCTCAAACCTCCTCACGTGGCTCATTTGAGTCCTGACTAATATTTTCTAGGTAATCACTTCTGGTGCTTCGGGGGTACCCCAAAACCTCCCCCACCCAACGCTCACCACCCTCTAGACCTGATTTAAGATCCTTTCTTTTGTTTCAAATCCAGGAGGCACAGGCCCCACCACTTGACACCAATCGGACCTTTCCTAAAATGCAGGATGCCCCTTCCTAGCCAGGCTTGTGCCCACTCCCCAGGGCCCCACCCGCAGCCACCTGTGCTGCTGTAGAAGGCCAGCCTGGTGGTGGTGTGGAATTCCTGAATGAGGAACTGGGAGAGCGAGATGCGCTCGTCTGTCTTTAAGGAGTCGTTGCCTTTTTTCCAGTACAGCATGAGGTCATCCTCTGTGTAGGCATCTGAAAAGATGGGAGACAGCATCAGGCATGCGGTGGAGGGAAGACCGGCCTGTCTGTGGGGCCCTGTGGAGGCTGCTCCAGGCCTCCCACGCACACTGTTGGGATTGTGATCACATAGTCTGAATAAGCACACTATAGTCTCAATCAAGCAAAATCCACACAGACACATCTAATTCTCTCATCTTCCAGAAGTCATCAGAGCAAAACTCTTGGGCCTAAATCTCATAATTCCCATAGAAGGAACTCAGCCTGCTATTTATTAGGTTAAAGCAAATGAAATTGCTATTTTTTGTAGCTCAGAAATGGTTGAACATTGGCAAAGTTGCCTATGGTTTAGCCCTATAAACCGGACGTGATTTAGCCCTTTCCTTTCTTCTTTCACAGTGCAGGGATGTGTCCATGGATGACAAACACCTTTACACACTCTCAGGTAAAAAGGGCTGCTTTCCAGCAAGAAAAGGCCTCAACAGAGACAGAAGCAGAGCAAATCTCTTCTCTGTCGACCTGCACTTGCTCTTACCCGGATAAAATCAAAGGATGCCTGTAACTGTGGGGGGAAAATCCCAGGGCAAAACATCTCTGAAACCAAAATCAGTCAAAGGGAGAAATAAAGTTTAATAAACCCATTTATTTCTTGCAAGTAGTCATCCTGTCTCTCTCTTCACTGGGCTGCAACAGAAGAGAGAACTCCACCCAAGCCCTCAGGGTCCAGATACACCTTCCCACACACCCTTGTAATTACCTATTGATATGTAAATGTAATAAAGCCAGTTAAGAGATTCCGGAAATACTGCAGTTTTACCCACAATGCCCCCATGAGGACCATCCCCATTCATGCTACCATTTTTGCACACAGCCCCCACCCCCTATCCACTCTCCATGAGCACATTTCTTATTCCAGCTGAACACTTCCCTGCAGGCCGAAAGAACTGAGGTACAACCTAACAGAGCTGCTGGTCCAGTCTGGGCACACATAAACAGCTCTCTCTGGGACTCCCTGGGGCTCTATTTTATTCTGTTTGTAGACTTGTCCTGTGTGATAGTCAGTTTCACAGGTCTGCCTGGCTAGGCTGTTGCACCCAGTTATTCAAACACTAATCTAGGTGTTGCTCTGAACATGCTTTGCCCATGTAAGTAACGTCGATGACCAGCTCACTTTAAATAAAGGAAATGATCTGGGATAATCTGGGTGGGCCTGATCCATTCAATTAAAAGGCCTATGTCCCCCCCAAGGAAGAAGAAACCTGCCTGTGGACAGCACTCTCCCTGGCCTACCCTTCCTGACAGCCTGCCTGGCAGATATCAGACACCCTGGCAGCACCCCTGCTCTCGTGAGCCAGCTCCTTGCCCTAAACCTCTCACTACCTGTCTCCTGTGGTTCTGCTTCTCTGGTGGTTCTGCATATCTGGACTGATAACACCTGGAGGAAGCTACCTTCCGGATGGAGTGCCTGGGTGTAGTGAGGAAAACCAGGTTCGACAGCCAACAAGTGCAGTCCTTCTCAGTGCTGTATCCTCAGGCAAACCATGACCCTCCTTTGCATGATGGAGATGAACAAGAGCCTTCTCACAGCCACCTTGTGAGGTTTAAGTGGCAGAGCAGGTGGAAGGCCACCATGTGGCAGGTATCACTCCCTTGGTGCTGGGTGTATTACTCCCTTCCCCAGTTCAGTGCCCTGTGGGGTGTGGTCAGCCTCTCTAGGTAATTGGAGCCAGGGGACACTTGATCCATTGCCACAGCACAAGCAGGCCTGCAAGGTGCCCCAGCCAACAAGACTCCTCACTAGGACATTGATACCAGCCAGAAAGTGCCAGTTCAGAAGGAGTGTAGGAGCTGAGTTATGGAGGAATCTGGTCTGCACCCACCAGAGGAAGCATTTTGGCAGAGATTGGAAAACAGAGCTGCTGCATAGACAGCTAGAGGTGCAAGCTGCTAGCCTCAGCCTTGCTCTTCCTGGGGCCTGGTTCCCACAATTTCCACGATTCCCATGTGTGTGCAAATTTCCTGATGTCCTTTGGTTGTGCCTGAGCGTGTCAACCACCACAAGTGTGCACAGTGGCAGCCCTCAGGCTATTGTTGTCAGGCTTGTTTTTGCCAGAAAGTTATTTCTTCAGTAGAAATCTTATTCAGAAGAGCAATAAAACAGATCAGAAATGAGCTCTCTGGATGTGGTACATATACACAATGGAATATTATTCAGCCATAAGAAGAAAACAAATCCTACCATTTGCAACAACATGGATGGAGCTAGAGGAGATTATGCTCAGTGAAATAAGCCAGCCGGAGAAAGACAAGTACCAAATGACTTCCCTCATCTGTGGAGTATAACAATGACACAAAACTCAAGGAACAAAACAGCAGTAGACTCACAAAACCCAAGAATGGACTAGCAGTTACCAAAGGGAAAGGGTGTGGGGAGGGAGGGCGAAGGGGATTAATGGGTATTATGATTAGCACACATAATGTAGGGGGGGGCACAGGGAAGGCAGTATAACACAGAGAAGACAAGTAGTGACTCTATAGCATCTTACTATGCTGATGGACAATGACTGTTACGGGGTATGTGGTGGGGACTTGATAATAGGGGTGAATGTAGTAACCACATTGTTGCTCATGTGAAACCTGAGCATAAGATTGTATATCAATGATACGTTAAATTTTTTTAAAAAGCACTTGAATGACCTCTTAAGATCCTTTGATCTCAAAGCTCATGATGATTCTACCAGGTGGCTACAAATCAGTCAAGTCTGTAAGTAGAGTGGTCCTTAAATAAATGCATGAATATCTTCTGCAAAAAAAAAAAAATGAGGGCTCTAGGTAGACTGTGTGTATGACTGGAGGGCAGGGGGCTTGGATTACAGAGCCCTTTACTCCTCCTCCCCAAGCAGTTGCCTAGGGAACTTCAAAAGCTCCAGGTCCATAGAACAAAGTTTAAAGCCATCGAGGGTCATTTATGGGAATAGAAGGTTTTAGTTCAAAATTTGTTCCTGATTTTAAAAATTACCCTGGACTGAGCGTCAATCTAAAAAATCACTTTAAAAGCAGAGTCATGACTGAGGAGCACATCCTGCGCCTGCTTCTGAGAGTTAGCAGGGTGTGGAGTGACTTAGGAGCTATGAGCTGGTGGCTGGGCACGCGTCTACTCACAGCTTTCAATTTCAAGCGAGCACGTTTGGGTGTCCAGGGGAAACCGGCTGAAGTCCATGTTGCACATCGCAGTCACTGTAACCCTAAGACCAAAAAGACAAAATCCAGGTTTTCAGAGGCTGCAAAATACAGATGCAATATAATAAAACAAACAGAAAAGGCCTCTGCTTCCTTCCAACGTAACTTCCTCCTTCTTATAATTCATGGGCAATGTTTCGGGATTTAGGTAAGTAGCTTCTGAAGGACACTATCATTGGAGAACTTTTACGGATTTATGTTTTACCCCAGGGTCAGTGTGAGGCAAGCAGAACATCTCTGCTGATTCCTGTCACACTCAAGTATACTAAAGAAGCAATATCTCAAAAAGGAAAAGGAAAGGAGAGCAAAGGAGAAAACAGGAGAAAAAAGAAGAGAAGAGAAAAACAAAGCAAAGCAGTAGTCTCCATCGATATAACAATGTGAAATAAAAACTCTCATGATAGGGTTTCTTAAAAGAAACTATCGGAGTATATATTTTTCTCCTGTGTTACATACATTCAAGTTCTTTTGTTCTGTTATTCATTTTATTGATATTCAATATTTGTGTACACTGTTTCACAAATAATATCAGGGAAGCACTTATGCCAGTTGCCAAATTGGGCACTTTAAAAAAAAATACCATTGATGTTCTCATATAGATCATCATATCTACTAGTGGGCATACGTGCTTTTAATTGCTAATTCCATGGAGCTCACAGTACTGGAAAAGCACTGAAATATCTTATTGTATAAGCACTTGCTGGTGCCTAATGGTTTTGTTTCAAAGTTTTCCCAGGAAAATAGATTTCCTCATTAAAGAAAAACAAATACAGATCATTAGTCATAGATGGAACACCTCCTATCTAGTGGGAAATCTCCTGGCAAGACATGATTAACAGTTATTGGCTGGTACTGAACACATTTTTCACCCCCAGCCGCACAAAATTTTCTATGTGTAAGTTGTGGAAATTACCTGGATGATTCATGACCTAAAAGAAAAAAAAATCACTTTCAATTGAGGTGGAAAATTCAAAGAAAGAGCTTTCTTGAAACTGAAATATCTAAATATTTTCCTTATTTTCCCCATTCTACTTGAGAATGGCATGATTCTGTTCTGGGAGGGAATATCTATTCCTAGCAGCTAGGCAGTCTTACCCCTCTGGAAATCCAGGGGGTATATTTTTGGGAAGGAGTCAGGCTGGCTGCCAACTTGGACACCTAATGGGTGGGCTTCTGTTTCTATGGGTAATCACCAGCAAGAAAGACACTTATTAAGTCTGGGGACACTTGGAGATAACTTTGGGGACATGAATACCAAATGCAGGAATTTTTTGTTATGAACAAAAAGATTGAACATTTCTTCTTTAATGCACTAGTTGGTTATAGGAACAGATATTTTTAGAATCACAGACATCAGATTGGTTCTTGATGGTTTTCCATCTGTAACCTGCACACTGAACAAGTAGAATTTGTGGTATAATCTAATTCATGTGTATTTTTATTTCCCCAAGTTTTTTAAAGCTGATTTGTTGAGGGCATCCTCTCTTGTTCTGGATGTAAACTTGGCAGGTCCTGTGATTTTTCTGCTTATTCTCATGTAATAGGTAGTCAAAGCCCCCATAAGTAACAACACATCTCAACTCAGAAATTCAAGGAATTTGGTCTGAGATACTAAACAACAGTTCAAACTTGATTCAAATTAAGACTTCTGCTCCCCCCTCTTCAGGTAAGATACAAAGCTGGCATCCAAGTGGGCCATTTCTGCCTATCTCTCATCACCTCCTGCACAGGAAGAAATGAAAGGAGAGAGGAGGGTAGGGGTGGGCAGGTCTTTGCAGGTGGCTGCGCTCTCTCTGGGTCTGCTGCAGGGGTTGAAGATGATACTTTCTTCACCAGGCTCTTCATTCCCACTGCTGGGCGCCTCCAGGCTGCAGGTCTACACTCCCCACTGGCAGTAACTCCCCACCCCAGCTCTCCGTTCTTCTACCACCCACCCACGGCACACACTCAACTTTTCCCAGCAACCCTGGAGAGCAAAAACTTGCGGCTCTGCCCCTGGGTGCTTAGACAGCTCTTCTCTTACCCTCTCCCGCAACGGGAGGCACACCCGTACCAAGGACAGCTTCTCCAGGTCAGCATTTAATGAGCAATTATGCACTTCTAAAGCCTCTGAGCTGGTGAGAAGAAAAGACTGAATTTTTTACATTTAACAAGTGGTGCTCAGAACACTATTTAAAGTCACAAAGTGTCCCAGAATTCACATAGTTTGTCAAGTTAGGACCCTGGTGAGAAAGGATAGAAGACATACCTGCAGCAGGCAGGTACATGAAAGACATTTTTTAAACAAAATTCTAAAATACACCTGACACCTGGGAACCTGAGAGGCCAAAGGAGGCAAGTCTTTGAGAAAATACGTCACCTATTTCTCTACCTCCTACCAAAGAAATAAAACTTTTATTAAAGGTTTTAAATTGAAATATAACATACAGGATAAGGTATAGACAGTAAGTAGTGGCTTGAGAAATTCCTCCAGATGTGTTTTCAAGACTGAATAATTCTTTACAAGTTTTACTCGTGTGTAAAGTTAGTTCTCCTTGGTGCTGACGGTTGGCAGCGCCTGAAAAGTTGCAAGCTAGCCTAGTCAAGGCCAAAACGCGCATCTGATTTGTGGAACCGGCAATTTCTCGGTTGGAATAAATGATTTGCCTCTCTGCCCAGGCCTCCAGGGCACAGGGCCGCCGGCTGGAGAGCACGCACGGGGCCCGGAAGGGCCGTACCTGAGGCTGTAGAGCACTTGCCCATCGGGCTGCACCCGCAGCATCACGTTGTCCGTGGTTGTGTCATGGATAAAGGAGCGCTTGGAGTGCACAAAAAACATGTCGGGGACCCAGATCTTCTTCACCAGCCGCCCGTCAAACGTCATGCTGAGGTTGCTGGCGCTGGGGAAGGCCAGCCTCTCGTCTTTCCAGTAGTGCCGCAGGTACAGGGTCATGGTGAAGTCCTGGGGGCAGGGGGTGGGAGAGGGACCCAATGCACTGAGCCACGGGGTACCAGCTGGGCCTTACGTACCCCCTCGGAGCAGCCCTCACGGGCCAGGAATGAAACAGAGTGCGGCCTTGCTCCGAGGCCCTGGGGTCTGCGGCAGTGGGAGGAAGGGACCCTGCAGGGGAGGAATTCAGCAAGGGATCTCTAGCCTAGAGGGTCCCTGAACCTGCCCCACACCCTGGCATTTGCCCCGCACGGAGAAGGCTGCCCTACCTGCACCTGGGACCCTCTGAAGCCTGAGGGCTCTGCGCCTGGACAAGGGGCAGGGTTAATGCCTCCACAAGCAGCCCTCAGTCAGGGGTGGGATAGGGGTCGGGGGTGAATAAGCACCCGGCTCCCTGAACTCCCCGCTGGGGTAACCCTGAGCTGTGCTCTTTGCTGACTCCCAGAGCCCCGATGGGATTGAGACCCGTAATAGTGCAGTAACCAGCTTAACGGCCGGCCCCCTGTGCTTCCTACCCTGCCCTGTCTCACCTCCCAACTTTCCCTGTGTTTACTGGGACCACCTCCCAAATTAGCTACTTGTGCTAGAAGGCTTGTCTTAGGTCTGCTTCTTGGGGAACCCAAACTAAGGTAAGGCCCTGTAAAGAGTCTGGTTAACTCAAGGAG